TTATAAGCACAAAATTAAGCCATAAAACTGAAATAGCTCTATGGGAAATCCCCGTGAACTCTGACCTAGCCTCTTGGAAGTTTGGCCAGTATCTCACTGATAACAAGAATAGCTTAAGTTTAAAATCTGAGCTTTCTAGACCCAGTAGTTTTTTCTCTAAGAGTGTTTACAGTGCTGAACGAAGAAAAAAAATATACAGGTATCCCTCGTATAACATGGTAGATAGACTACATTTCAAAAAAGTGCCATGTTATGTGAATCTGCACTATATGAAACAAAGGACTAATGTAAAACAGGGTTATGTTCCGAAAGTTAGTAATAAAAAAAATTATACCATTCTTTTATATACTTTTGCTAAGAGAAATATGTTTAGTATAGCAATCAATACTTTCTTTCCAATCAATAATTAACTAACAAGCACAATTAAAAATACTGTATTATATGTTAATATTAATTTTAGTTAAACAAGGGCATTTTCTTTTTACAAATTTTCTTTTTACTTCTGAGTGTTTTTGTTGATCTTGATCAGAAATATCAGCAATGTCTTCACTTTTTATTTTTCTCATAATTTTCTATGGATAACAAAATAAAAATATGTTATTAATCAATAATTTGAATTTATTCTAGCAGGTCACATTTATTCAGTCTAGTACAGAGCGATTTTTTCCAGAATTTGTGCTTGAATACCGAGATACTGCTATATTTCATTTGTCATTTTTAAAAATGATTACAGGTATACCTCGCCTTACGTCGGTAATTGGTTCCAGGAGAACGACGTAAGTCGAATTTACTTGTCTCCGAATCTACTTGTCACTAGGCTAAACCATAAATTACCATTCCCGGTTCTGTATTTTATTTATTAATGCATTTTTATTAATATATGGTTAATAAAAATCTATTTTAAACTTACAAATAAATAAATTTTAGTTTTTAATATAGTATAGAAAAAGTATTCTAAATTTACGAATGCATGTACTGTAAATACAGAACATACTAGTATATATTTTAATATGATTTTATGTGCTTTAAACGTTTTTCTAGTGATATTACAACTTCAATATTTGTGGTGAACAGATGTAAAGTTGAGTAAAATAACTTAAACTTGATTTTTATTTTTCCATATACTTTTTTGACAAACGACGTATAATCGGGAACGACGTAACTCGAAACGACGTAAGTCGAGGTATGCCTGTACTTACCTACAGTTAAAAAAACAACATTTAATAACAACTTACCTAAACATATTTAAGTAAGCTTTACTAAATAGGGAGATTAATCTATAAAAACAAAACACATGACAGTCATTACTTTTAGACCTTAGCCCTTAAGGGTTAAAGTCTAAAAATAATGACACGACACTTGGTTGATAGGAAAGCTAGGACAAGAAAGAAAAATTCTACTATCAGTTTTCATTAAAGTAAATCTGACAAAAGGAACAAAACAAATTGAAAATTTCAATATTCTAAAGTCTGTGGGCAAATTCGAGATGACACACCTGCTTACTTGAATTAAAAAAAAAAAACATTGAATAATGAAGTTTACACTTAAAAATTGTGAAAATTTTATATGGAGGATTTCCAAAACTGTGGTGTTGTATGAGGGATACTTGTATAAAAAAAAAAACTGATATTTTTCTTTTTCTTAAGTAATTTTTGCACTTTCAATTGCTTATATTTTGGCAACTGCTTTATAGAAAATTGTGAAATTTTGCACACTACCTAAGAAAACAATTATAACAAACAACTATCTTTCAAGTGAGATATTCAGAATTACTTCAGGTGTTTGGGATGAAGAAAGCAACCCCCAAAAATTGACAACTAGTAACTTAGTATCTTTTTTTACTTGTCAGGGAGTCACTGCTGTGACTCTTGATATATTACCTATTAAACAGTAAAATCGAGTGAGGTGAAAAATAATGTTAAGTGAAATGATATTAACAAAATCATATGTTGTTTATATTAATTAGCCTATGGTAAAATTTATTTCATTATATTAATATATTGTTTTACTTAACATTGCAATTTACAGAACCTACTGATGACGTTAAGTGAGGAATTGCTATATAAGAATATCCTATGAATATTTTTTAATTTTCTTTTATTAATTAATTATATAATTTTCCTCCCCAATAATACAAAATAGCAATAGTAGTAGAAGTTGAAGATACAGGATAAGATTTTAAAAATACTATTATTGTAATGCTTTATCTATGAATATAAAAATTACAGTACTGTACATGAAATATGGGTATATATATGTGATAATTATGTTTATAATGTTTGAAGAAATGAAAATATTGAAGAGCTATATACATATAGTATTAATATATTTTTTGGATTAATTATTTTGATTAATTTTTATTACCTTCATTCAGAAAATTAAAATTTTAAAATTTTTATAGATGAACAATAAGACAGACTTTTATTTTATCAAAATCATAGAAATTTAAAAACATTGACTGCTAGTAGAGACTTGTAATATATAACTTGACATAGCTTACCAAAGATTAAAGCTTTCAAAATTCATATACAACTTTACCACCATTTTCTATCATCTAATGAAAACTTAATCTGAACAGAATTATAAGAGGAAATGTAAATTTCTCTCAATCATTACACTTGTTTACAGAATGACAACAGATAGCACTTTATGTACCATGTGTTTACTTGGAATGTCTTCATTGCAGTTATTCATAATCCCTCTTCCCGTGGGATTTTTAGCTCATTATTTATATTTAACCTTAGTTATGGCTTCTAAGATGATGCAGTTGTCAATGAATACTCAGTCTGACACTTAATATATTGATAGATGACTACTAAGACTTAGTTTAGTATTAACAGTCTATAGCACTTTAGAAATTTGTAATGAATATAATTAGTGGTCAAGTATGTACTGTTGTTGTTATTATATGGTCTTGAATGGCCAACAAAACTTAATCTTACAAAGTTTTGGAACCATGCATATCAGAAAAATGATCATCATCCAGTGTCATATAACTTCCATTCTCAAAATTCTCATCTATACTCCAGACTCCATATTTGTATCAATTTCACAAACAAAACTTATATATAATAAAATTAGACACAGTCAGTTCTTGATAAGATGAAATATGCAATATGGACTACATTTGATGTTTGTTAAACATTTAACGTTAAAAATATTTAATAAGGTAAACTGTTCTTGCAGAACAAACAGAATAAATGATAGTGTTTCAGTACGATAAACTTTTCTAAATTTGACATTGGTAGTTTAATAAAAATTTTCAAACTTTGAATGAAATTTATCTACACAACAATTAAATCTGAAATTACTGTAAGTTGCTCAAATAAAATCAATGCTTTTTGATGATAGAGTTCAGACACCAATTTGGAGACTGGAATAATCCAACAACAAGCACATCTATCAAAGAGCCTTAATTGAATTCCAGCAAGATTTAATTTGTGCACGCCTTCTTCCAATATCAAGAGATCAAAATATTCCAATCCCATCAGGATACTTGAAGTATTGAAAATAGTTAAATCTGACAAAAAGGACAATTGTATTAATTTTACATATGAAAAACAATTAAGGTAATTGTTTTTTGTCCCTGGAAATCCCTATATGATCATGTAACCAACTGTGACATAGGGACATTATAATGGAATGTTCTTGTTTGTATTTTTATAATTTTTGAGTGATTAGTTTTTTTGGTACTTCTAATTAATTTTATATTTACTTTTATTTTTATATATCCAAGAATTATTTCATTTAATTTTTCAAAACATGTCATTGTTCTATTCAAGCATTCCAATCATTGAATACACAGACCTGAAGACGATCTCTTAAGGGGCTCTTTGAAATATATATCAAAAATAATAAATATAAAAGCAATTGGAACTTTCCAAAATCAGTTTGGTGGATAAATGACCTCATTAATGCCAATTGTGATTTATCTCTCTATAAAAAATTAATTAATTAATGACTGAAAACCTTGTTGAAAAATATGGCAATAAAATAGTGATGATAAACTTCTTACCGAATTAGAATGTTCATTCTGTTAGTTACTGGCTAGGATGCAATTAAATCTGTTAAAGCCGACTGCTAACATTTTGTTGCTCAATAGGTGTGGATTTGCTTCGTTTGAATCAATTTGTGACTTATTGGTAACATTACTGAAGAAAATTTAATCTCTCAGATTTTTGCTCATCGTCACATCATTGAACCAATTAATGATAAGAACCAGCGTTAGATTGCATTCTTACCACTCTTTACAAAAATAAATGCTCTTGAGTATGTTCAGAATGTCTCCTAAGTCATATTCCAGTGAATTTTGCAAACATCTGGACTGTCAACATTTATTTGTTGACAGTCCAGATTGTATTTTTGAATGCAACAAAATGTAGGTGGTCGTCATACCCTGCAAACAAGCTTTTATGCATTTATGTTATATTACATATATAATAAAACAGAGTTTTCCCCAAGACATTTTACTAAATTGGACAAAATTGCAAATCTAATTTAGAACTTGTCGAAAAGTGTCAAACCATAATTACCAATTACTTCAAATAAATTTTTGTTATTCCTCAATCCGGTGTATTTTTATGAAGCAAACCTTTGTTTAAAACAAACAAGCTCATCTTATTGAGAACTGATTGTATTTATGAAATTTTTAGTTTATTTAAAATGCTAAAATAAATTTTAAACAAGTAAATCCTTTTGTAGGTGTTTGCAAATACATAATTGCAGAATATCTAAAACAATTTTTCAGTAACGATTACATTGCAAGCATCATAAAATCATGTCATCCTTAGTACGCATTTGAAAATGATACCATATTACATTCAGTTTATCTAATCATTTTACGTTAATTGCATTATATATATCATCATTCAAACAACATTAAAAATATGTAAAATAAAAATCAAATTAATTTGGATCTCTTAAGATACAAAATCGATTTTAACATATGTGTTCGATGCATACATTAAAATCTTGCTGCAAAAAAATTATAAATTGCTCACCTTCTGTTTTTGCTTTCACCTATAGACACTTCCGACGTTCCTATGTTACAGTTCGGCAATTCATTACGCTTGTTTTGACAATTAACGAAACTAAATGGTGTCAACAATAATAAATACACAAAACTAAAATACAGAAACTTCTCCATGAGATGCTATAACATATTTTAAGTCTTCATGTTAGCAAAGCAATCATGCTAACAATACGCGCACGCACGTTCAACCGCGATCGTCGACATCAAACAAATGTCGGTATCTTGAAGCATGCCGTCACGTGAATTGGCATCCAAGTTATCGAACGTTCCTATTGGTCGAAATATCTGAAAGATGACGTGTCTAACTTCTTTATTGTATAAGCAATATAATGACGTCATGTGGCGTGTTTTAAAACGAACAGAAGAAACAGGTTTTGAAACCCTGTTTCCCTTATAACTTTTATCATTACGAATTATTAGAATATGTTTTCTGTATAGGCTATTCCAATAATTCTGTATCAAATTTACAGACGGTAATTTATCATTTAAAGCATTTACAAATATAAAATATTTTATTTTTTTTGTATTAGTGGTATACAGTATATGAAAAAATTTGTATTGTTAACGTCACAATTATATGTATATTTTTATACATGTTACTCATTCGTTCAGAACTGGTTCAACCGATTTTTAAGAAATATACTATTTTGTATAAATATGTTACGTATAAAAAAATTTTTTTAAATACTGTAGTGGTTTTAAAAAATGTTTTGATAGCGCAAATAATTATTATACACGAAAGCTGTTTGCTGATATTAAAAGTACTGTACTGTACATAAATATAATCCATAATTTGCTTGTATTAATACAATAGAAATACTAAATGTATTTATAAAAATGGTGAAGTTAATTCTTTTTGTATTCAGTTTTGTTAAAGTATTTGGACAGACGTTTTTTATACGCACTGTATAAAAGAATTTAGACATGTCCTTTACAGTATTTTTAGCTGGATCTCCATTTTTTCACGTACTGTACATAGTATTTTCTCAAATAATCAGGTTTCAAAGTAGGCTACAGTATTTAATCCTGAAATGTGATAAAGTGTTAACGTTTTACATGCGCGTTATACGGAGTCACAAAGTTTCTACGAATAAAACAGTGTTCCATAAATTGCAATTAAAAACAATTAGATTCAGATATACTCATGAGTCGAAAATCAAAAATGATACTGTAAGAGTTCCACATTATAATTATTATTAAAAGAAAATGCTTGCATTAATAACAAAACACTACGGCATTTTAGCTAGAGAATATGACATTAATATAAATTCGCTCCGTAATAATTTATTTCGGAAATCTATAAATAAAAATTGTCGGAAAAACGTGTTCTACAATAAATTATCAAAAATCTTTGAAGAGCCTCAAATTTGGCTTCTATAATTGAATATACATACCGGTAACTTAAACTTACAATACAAATTCAGTATATAGAACGGGCTTACGTGTTTGAAATTTTTCAAACATACGTAGCCTAAACGTTCTCTCGGGATTCTTGAACATGAGAATAAAACTCGTCATTTTTGATGTGTAGAAAACTACGTTTAAAAAGAGAAATCTGTTTCTAAAATATAGTCTATTTAATTTGAAAACTGGATTTTCATTATGATTAAAGTTCGATTTAATATAATAAAGAATATGGTAGCAAGTTTGTAATATAAAGGAAATATAAACGAAATTACGAATTATCAAATATCTAAATGTTTTAAAATCAATTTTAAAGCAGGGTTCAATTAAACTATTACAATGTTTTTTTAATGCTGTAGAGAAAATTTAACGTTTCAAACTTTGATAACAAACTGTAAATTTAATCTAAATTTTGCAAAAGTTTGTAAACACAGTGAACTCCAATTATGTGTTTCAGTTGTACGTTTTTCGCAATTATACGTTAAAAATTTTCTGTGAAATACAGTACTTTCTTCTCATATTATGCGTTATTAGAGGTTGAGGCGCACGTTTTAAACGTGTACGTGTGACGTCCGGCGCCGCTTTCCCGTAAGCCTAAAAGTTTGACGATGGTGTATGGACTGTCGAGCGTGATTCCACCGACTATCCAAACACCATTGTCAAACTTTTAGGCTTACGGGAAAGCGGCGCCGAACGTCACACGTACACGTTTACACGTTTAAAACGTGCGCCTCAACCTCTCTATTTACTTTGAAATGAAAGAATTTAAAGTAAATAAATCAACAGCAAATGCAAAACATTATGGCACACATCTTATGTAATATTTACAGGATAAGAAGTGGATAGATCATAGGTGGTCTTCTGTTCATCTGTGACGCAGTTTACTTGGTTCACGGAGTGAATAACTGAGGATCACTGATTTAATTTACACGTTTTGGGACATTTGGTTCTGACATCAGACGACTCATATTATCTATTATAAGTGGAATCTATGTTTTTATCTAGAACAATTGAAAACATTTTTTTTTTTAAATTCCTGAACAACATAGAAATTTATCTAAAATGAAAAAATAAACTGTTTTGTACTTAATTGATAATAGAAGAGTTCAGGAACAGTGTCTGAGTTATTGAATTATTTAAGTTTTGGACTGATCTTTTACACAGATCGATAAAATAAAATTTAAGATTATTATTTCTTTGGAGTCAAAATGAGAAAACATTGTGAATTTTAATCTGTTTAAATCATTTTTTGTTTATAAGGGGGGTGCAAAAGCAGGTACAGTACACAGTTGAGAATCTGAGAAATACAAATATTTGGTGTTCATTATTATTATTATTATTATCTTTTATTAGTTTGTATTCCTTATTTATTTGTGATTTAATTTGTATATAAAAATAAATGTTTTTTCTTCCTATTTTCCCCATTGNAAAAATAGAAGAAAGAGAACCAACTCACTGACGAAAAAAAAGCGCCGTAGAAAAACTCGCACACACTTGCACTCCCGAGCAAAAAAAAGTAAGTCCGCACTGAGAAAGAGGGGGGAAGATCCCACCAGCACAACTTAGGTACTTGCTAAACCTTAAAGAATAAAACATCCCAAAAAATTGTCAAAAGGAATAATGTAAAAGGTTGGCAAGTATTGTCAGGAAATAGGTTGCCAGGCAGAAAAGAAGTTTACTGTTAGCGATAAGTATGTAAATGAGGGGAGTGATCTCAATCAGAATTGTGACGTCACCTCATAGTATAAAGTCCAAACCTCAAGTGAAGATGACCGAGGTGAGCTTCTGTTAGCAACGAGCGTGGTGAGCTTTGTAGCAGCAAATGACAAGAGGTGTCCGATAGCAATAAAGTAGTTCCAAGGCGATATGAAGTTATTCAATTTGTGGATCGAAGATTAGAAAGTCTTGAGAGTTGAGGAAACAGGTTCCTAGTATATTGAAGTGACGATTAGAACCTTAGTTCATAAGAATTGTTGTACATAAAGTTGTCTTTGAATTTTTTGTTGAGTTCCAAAGGGGAATAGATTTAAGTTAGCAAATAGATTGATTTGAGTTCTGTCGGGTTGATTCTTATTGATTTTCTTTGAATAAATTTGTTGTTGATTGTTACTAATTTTTGTACATAGTCATTATTAGAATTATTAAATATTGGATTGGTTTTGACTAACTTTGTCATTATTTCTTTCGGTGCATGCTTAAAGTCCAGGCCTGGCACATTAACGCAAATCCGCGTAAAGTACCCGTTAGGTAACGGCTATTTCCGGGACACACTCGTGTCGATAATCGTTGTAAAAGGCAAAAATAACTTAGTACTTTACAATAAGACAATGTACAATTCTGTCAATGCTTGGGGACCAAACCATTTAGAACCATTCTAAATATGCCATTTAGAAAAATCATTATAAAAAGTTTTGATACATATAAATTTGAGCTTTTGTTATTCTGGATAACATTAATCATTTGTTTTGATGTAATTTTGTTCTTATAAGCACAAAATTAAGCCATAAAACTGAAATAGCTCTATGGGAAATCCCCGTGAACTCTGACCTAGCCTCTTGGAAGTTTGGCCAGTATCTCACTGATAACAAGAATAGCTTAAGTTTAAAATCTGAGCTTTCTAGACCCAGTAGTTTTTTCTCTAAGAGTGTTTACAGTGCTGAACGAAGAAAAAAAATATACAGGTATCCCTCGTATAACATGGTAGATAGACTACATTTCAAAAAAGTGCCATGTTATGTGAATCTGCACTATATGAAACAAAGGACTAATGTAAAACAGGGTTATGTTCCGAAAGTTAGTAATAAAAAAAATTATACCATTCTTTTATATACTTTTGCTAAGAGAAATATGTTTAGTATAGCAATCAATACTTTCTTTCCAATCAATAATTAACTAACAAGCACAATTAAAAATACTGTATTAGATGTTAATATTAATTTTAGTTAAACAAGGGCATTTTCTTTTTACAAATTTTCTTTTTACTTCTGAGTGTTTTTGTTGATCTTGATCAGAAATATCAGCAATGTCTTCACTTTTTATTTTTCTCATAATTTTCTATGGATAACAAAATAAAAATATGTTATTAATCAATAATTTGAATTTATTCTAGCAGGTCACATTTATTCAGTCTAGTACAGAGCGATTTTTTCCAGAATTTGTGCTTGAATACCGAGATACTGCTATATTTCATTTGTCATTTTTAAAAATGATTACAGGTATACCTCGCCTTACGTCGGTAATTGGTTCCAGGAGAACGACGTAAGTCGAATTTACTTGTCTCCGAATCTACTTGTCACTAGGCTAAACCATAAATTACCATTCCCGGTTCTGTATNTATTTGTGATTTAATTTGTACATAAAAAATACATAAAAATAAATTTTTTATTTAATTCCTATTTTCTCCCTGCATTTTTTTTTCCACAATAACTGTATACCTACTTTTGCACCCCCTGTATATTCAGTTATCTTTACATATTAACTACAAATTAAAGAATCTTTTCCAAAAATTGCCATAATTGTTTGCAGAGAGAAAGCCTACACCTTAAAATTACAACAATAAATCAAACTAAAATTTGTATGTTTGATTACTGTATGTTCTATAACAGACAATCCATAGTTTGAAAATGTTTTTATGCATTAAATAGTACCTGCTAGAGTGATTTTAAGGTGTAGATTTTTTTAAATCTTTTTGTTCCTCCTCCAGTTTATGTGGTTTCATTATAATTATTTTAATATTTTTATATGTAAAATCTCTATTTTTCAGTTGTACTTATACATTCAAAAAGCATCTAAACAAAATTTTAGAAAAATAGTTTCAACATTTTTTAATACATTTCATTTTAAACATCTAGTTAATGATTACAGATCACTGTTTCAGAAATTTTAGTCTTGATACGTTAAGTTTATCATAACATTAAATTTGTTTTAAACTTTAAATTATTAATGATTTGAAAGATTTATTAAATATATCCTATACCTAATCTTGCTATTCATTAGAGTAAATTATATTTTAATTATTACACACTTAATGTAGTTATAACATTAATATTTAGCATTTAAAACATGACAAATAGTTGATAAGAAAACTTTTAATCCATCAAAATAATCTTCAAAGACCAAATATTGATCTTAGTAAATATAAAATGTACACATTAAATGAATTAAAGTATTTCTTAAAGATTAACAGCTATTATATTTACCAAGATGTTGGACTAATGGCATTCATATCAAAATTAGAAACAATATGTTTTTTATGAGTTGTGAAAATCTTACAAAATTTATATATATATTTCACGGACAAATTTATAACAGCAAAATTATCTGAATGGCAAACTTCAGATGACATTGGAATGTTATTAGTTTCTAGAAGGTTAGCTCCAATATTTTTATTCCAATTATTAGAAAGGAAATTATCAGAAGATCTGTCTTTAGTTTCAAAAAATTTTTCAGAAATTTTTTCATCTTGATTGATGTTGGCAGTTTGCTGATTGCAAGGGGAATGTGACACTGAAAACACAAAAAAGTATATATATTATTTATAGGCATAAAAACATGGTGTTCACAAAATAAGTTTACAACATATTCTATTAAAAGAAATACACTTGATGGATCTCTTGATTATCAAAAGATCCATCAAGTGTTAAAAGTTTTTTAACTCATATACAGTGTCATAACTAGCCATTCCTGTGCTCTGTGCAAGAATTTGCATTTAGGTCCCTTAATTAGGTTTGGGAAAATAATAAAAAAAAAATACAAATCCTCAAAATATTGAAGTCAAATAATCTTATTATTATTATTTGACTGCAAGTAAGAATGCAAATAATCTTAATATTATTATTTGTATTCTTACTTGTTTTCACAAACATACACGAAAATACAAGTATGGTGACAGGACCATGCCGTGCTATGATACAGAGAGACGGCCGCATCAGGTGGCACCATACGGGGGTGTGACATAAGCAGCATTTAAAGGGCGCTATTTCGAAAACTTGCATTGTACTGAGAAAATTACTGCACAGTCCTGTATGGTGACTATGTTGCTGTATTCACACTGTAACCTAATCTAAGTTAGGCAAGTTAATATAGGTAGGTTGAAAATACAGTATCAGTCAGTTCTGCCATTCATTCGAATGTTCATCTTGGTGAGCTGAAACATCTAGGGTTTAAGTAAGGCAAAATCTAATTGCCAGACAACAAAAGGCAGAAAAAATTAAAATTTTAAAATTTTTATAGATGAACAATAAGACAGACTTTTATTTTATCAAAATCATAGAAATTTAAAAACATTGACTGCTAGTAGAGACTTGTAATATATAACTTGACATAGCTTACCAAAGATTAAAGCTTTCAAAATTCATATACAACTTTACCACCATTTTCTATCATCTAATGAAAACTTAATCTGAACAGAATTATAAGAGGAAATGTAAATTTCTCTCAATCATTACACTTGTTTACAGAATGACAACAGATAGCACTTTATGTACCATGTGTTTACTTGGAATGTCTTCATTGCAGTTATTCATAATCCCTCTTCCCGTGGGATTTTTAGCTCATTATTTATATTTAACCTTAGTTATGGCTTCTAAGATGATGCAGTTGTCAATGAATACTCAGTCTGACACTTAATATATTGATAGATGACTACTAAGACTTAGTTTAGTATTAACAGTCTATAGCACTTTAGAAATTTGTAATGAATATAATTAGTGGTCAAGTATGTACTGTTGTTGTTATTATATGGTCTTGAATAGCCAACAAAACTTAATCTTACAAAGTTTTGGAACCATGCATATCAGAAAAATGATCATCATCCAGTGTCATATAACTTCCATTCTCAAAATTCTCATCTATACTCCAGACTCCATATTTGTATCAATTTCACAAACAAAACTTATATATAATAAAATTAGACACAGTCAGTTCTTGATAAGATGAAATATGCAATATGGACTACATTTGATGTTTGTTAAACATTTAACGTTAAAAATATTTAATAAGGTAAACTGTTCTTGCAGAACAAACAGAATAAATGATAGTGTTTCAGTACGATAAACTTTTCTAAATTTGACATTGGTAGTTTAATAAAAATTTTCAAACTTTGAATGAAATTTATCTACACAACAATTAAATCTGAAATTACTGTAAGTTGCTCAAATAAAATCAATGCTTTTTGATGATAGAGTTCAGACACCAATTTGGAGACTGGAATAATCCAACAACAAGCACATCTATCAAAGAGCCTTAATTGAATTCCAGCAAGATTTAATTTGTGCACGCCTTCTTCCAATATCAAGAGATCAAAATATTCCAATCCCATCAGGATACTTGAAGTATTGAAAATAGTTAAATCTGACAAAAAGGACAATTGTATTAATTTTACATATGAAAAACAATTAAGGTAATTGTTTTTTGTCCCTGGAAATCCCTATATGATCATGTGACCAACTGTGACATAGGGACATTATAATGGAATGTTCTTGTTTGTATTTTTATAATTTTTGAGTNATTCGAATGTTCATCTTGGTGAGCTGAAACATCTAGGGTTTAAGTAAGGCAAAATCTAATTGCCAGACAACAAAAGGCAGAAAAAATTAAAATTTAAAAATATAATTTCTTATATTTTTAAATTTTACATTGAACAGCATTTTGGGCCCCCCTTCCAAGTGGGCGCTGTGTGGGTGCACTTGTTGCACCTGCTTAGTTACAGAGCACTGTTCATATGATAGATGGCCTTGAGTGTCTCATAGAAGGAAAATCATTGTTAAATGTGAAAAGAAACGAGAAGGATTATGCCACAAGAAAAAGCAGTTTGTGTTTTTTGCAGAATCAAAATCATTAACAGTTTAACAATTTCTGAACAGAATACAAGAAACAGTTGCCAAATACGTGAGCCATTTACAGCCTGGCACACGTATTTGTAAAATCTAAGTGACTCGTACAACATGGAATTCATATAAAACGGAATTATCAACAGTGTTATAGGGGGAGGGTCGACTGTACAATATAAAAAAAAAAAAAAAAAAGGAAATGCATTATATTAGATTTTCATTTATTAGAGAAATATTTAAAAATTTAAAACAAAAATCAAATTATCATGTATCGTACAAAACCCTAAATTTTATATGGAGAGACAGAAAGAAAATTTAATCAACAAATTAAAGAACATGAAGCAGCTATATGATTAGAACACAAAAAATCACCACAGTTTAAACATTGTACTGAAAATAATTGTTCAATAGATAAAAATAATTTTAAAATGTCAAATAAAATACGTTCTTTAAATAATTTTTTAAATACGCGTTTATTAAAAATAATAAAAAAATTTAATTTAAATAACAATAAGTCAATTGATCTAAGATGAAATGACATATCAGACGGAAAATTTAGATTACTCATTGTAACACTAAGGTTTGCAACTGATACAACAAATGTATCAGTTGAAATTTAGGCTAGTTATAGAATGTTAACCAAGAATTGTAAAAAAATACAATTATATTATGAAATAATTTAAAGAATTTTTTTTGTATTGTAGAATAATTCAAGAAACTGTATAAATAGTAAAAAATATGCTCAAATGAAAATGTGGTTTAAATGTTAGAATACAGTAATGTTGCATAATGAGTGATGTTTACTGTAATTAGAAAAAATTCTGTGTTGATATCTTTTAAAATGTCTGAAGAGGGGCCAGCTAGGTCTATGGCCCAAAATGCATAATTTTAACGCAAATGAATAAAATAAACTTGTCTTCTAAGTTATATCTGTCCTATTAAAAATTAGTATTGATAAAGTTTCTACATAGCATTTTTTTACCTTCAAAAAATTTATATTTTTATATTTAAAAATTACCAATTCATCAACTTTTATCTTGTTTTTCAAAATTAAATTAATCTTATGTTAATTTGAATCTATGATCATCCCAAATTCCATTATAATTAGTATTGTGTCAGAAATTTAATATTGGTGTAGGAATTAATATTTTTTAAATTCACAAATCATGTTAAAATAGTATATTTTAATCATGATGTATGTATCAATTTGTTAAAATTATGATAGGTTATATAAAATTCAATAAAATTATTGTATTTTATGATAGAAATTTCAAAACATTAAAAAGGTATTTATTTTAATATAAAGACTTACCAAAAAATGCAGTATTATCACAGAATCCAGATCTTTGAGAAGCAGAATCTGACATTTTTAGAACAGAACTGAAGATCCAGAAAAGATTTGGTTTCATCAATGAGGAAAAGTCACATTTACTGCTTGGAGCTTTTGGAGATTCCATGGATAAGATATTTTCAGTCATTCTTAAAAGAAAAGACACATCATATGTTAAAATTAAAAAGATTTTAAATCATCATCAAGAATGTTAACCAGTTATTTTAAATAAATATTTTGTTTAATTGATACTAATCCATGTAGATTAGAAATTTAGGCTAGTTATACAAGCATTTAAAAATAACTTGAGATTTGATTTCAAATAAATCAATTTAATAACAGGGAAAGACATTTCAATAAAGTGAGATTAATAGACTAAGGTTTCAAAACTAAGTCAAATGAAAATTAAAGTCACTGGGGCAAAGCACTGAGTAAAATGTAATTAAGTTTTACTTTTTTTCATGATTTTTATTGGTTTATTTCCAAGAAAACAAATGACATGTTTGTGTATTCACTTCAAAATCAGTCAATTTTAATTTTTTAGTTCAGCATTAATTCAAATTGATCATTTATTAGTAAGTAACTTCTGTTTAAAAGTTTTTCTGATATGTAGGGCTATAGAGTTGCATAAAAATCAGCTGACTCCAACTTTGCCTGACTATCTGACTCCAACTCTGACCAGGGCGGATTTGTTACCAAAACAGACCCGGAAATCCTGATGTCATCACGTCCTCAGAATAAAAGATTCAATAAAATAGAGTTCAAATAAAGATAGAATGTAGAAACTTTTTTATTCCAAAGCTAAAAGACTCCTCTAAGTAATGATACAGTCAACATATAAATATGTATTTGATAATTTTTACTTTTCTGGCTGTTATGTATAACAGAGGGAAAGTGTAGCACTTGGTCAAAAAATGAACCCTCTCAAATTTTTACATTTTTTGATTCAGAACACCTTGAAATTCTGAGATATGCAAAAGATTTGAGATTTTTTTCTATATGTGTGGATGTTAGACTGTGGGGGCATGATTTTTTCACCCTGTTTGAAGCCTAATAACTTCTGTGGTTTTTAAATTGGAGTCGGATTGTTTAACACAGGAGTTATTAAGCATCAAAGTAGTTGAACTAAATCGTGTTCCTATACACATTCTAACATCTTAGGCAAGAACATCTTAACAGGTTTCACTGTACTATTATAAAATGACAAAAAGCTTACTTTTAAGGGTAGAGATGAGTTTTATTTTTTAAAAATTGTGAACGCTAATAATGAGTAAAATATTCATTAAGTTCAACCACACTGGAGATATGACACAACCCCTTCTATGTCTTCACCCTGTCAACCTTTAATTAAGAACCAAAATTTAATAGCATTAATGCCTCTTTATACACAGAATTATATACAACCAAATTTTGTTTCTTAAACTTTACCCATTCTGAAATATTGTTTATCTCAGAACAGAAAATAAAGAAATTAAACACATTAGATACCAACACACACACATGCATAAATTTTTCCCCTTTTATTGACTTTTTTTGGGGGGTTTGGGAGGTCTCCAAATGTGTAGATGTGCAAAAAAACTTGGAGGGTCAAATTTAACATGATTCCAATACATTCCATTTTATATACATAACAAGTTGGAAAGTAAAAAGGAGTTGGAGTCTATGACTTTTTTGATGACCCTGACTAAAACACCAAAACTCCACAGCCCTGCTATGGCAAAAATTCCAATATGAACTTTTGGTCAAGACTGGAAATTCATATATAGTTAATCAGTCTCCAGTCTCTAAGCTTTCCACGTATCTCTATTTTCATCTAACTCACTCCATCCTTGAGATTAACAAAGGACAGAAAAATCAATTAATTTGCAAGCTCTAAATAAACATCACAAGTATCAAATCATCATCTGATGTAAAATGTCTTCTTTAGAGGTTGAAAGACATGTAGTCATACGGTGATATATAAGGTGGATGGTTGTGCCTCCCAACTGAACTTTCAGTGTTTATCTTACTTGTTAGAGTATGCATTGTTGTGCAAAAAGATAATGCCTGAACGGTTTCCTCCAATCATTTGTATTTTAGTGCTACTTGAAGACAACTAATTCAATAATGATTTGCATCAAATAGATTTTTGGCTGCTTTGCAACAAGAAACTGGATCACAGCTTAATCAATGTTAGAAAGATTTTAGACAGTACTTCGGCACCCATTGCTTTCATCCTAGGTGCATGCCAGACCAATATACGTTTGGAAATTATAAAAATGAATTTGTCCCAACAATAAAAAATGATTTATTGTTATAAAATTAAATTTAAATCCTGCATTACTTTAGGGTGTCCCAAAAGTAATGCAGGATTTAAATTTAAAAAAAAATTATTATTTATTCATTAATTGCCAAAGTTGTAAAATCATTTTAAAGGGTAAACATTGCAATTAAATATGGAACAGAATATCTGACAAATGCCCCCACAACTCTTCCGACACATTCATTCTTTTGACAAAATTTTCAAATTTGCACAATTGCAGCTCAAATCCATCAATAACTTTTCAAATTTCTGCTTTCAATTCAGGAATTGTTCTTATTTTAGTGACAAATTTTGGACTTCACAAATCCTGGAGAAAAAAGTTGTACAGTCAGATTGCATGACCTTGGTGGACAATTCTGATTGCTGTTGCATGAGAGGAGTTGTCCATGAAACTTCTGTCTCAACAACACTGTTGTTTTGTGTGCTTATGACAGGTGACACCATCCTGCTGGAACTATGTCACTCAAACCCATGCTGTCCAAATGAGGCCATAAAAACTGATATCTTGCAATAATGCACACCATTTAAACAGTAACTGCATTTTCTGCCTCATTTTCAAACAAATATGATCCAATCACACCACTGGTCCAAAATCCACATCAAATTGCACTCATAGGGCATGCAATGGTTGTTCTTTGCACAATCTTTGCATTTCATTTAGCATGTTTCTTCTATCAAGAATGCCACATAATTTGTGCAGTCATAGCAAAACTTTCCCTGTACTTGTAATAAGTTTTGATAATCATTGTGTGCTCCTCCATTATGTATCACTCCATATTAACTGAAATGTGTTTACTACAAGATGTCACTTCATGCGGAACTGCCAACCCAATGGGAGAAAAATGGCACGAAATTTAAATCCTGCATTAATTTTGGAACACCCTTTATATGAAACAATTTGACTTCTTGATGCTAACTCTCAATTTTTGGCTTACCCTCAAAAAATTAACCTATGCCATTGGTTTGCTTTCTTAGCTGTTGTATCTAAGTTACATATCAAAGACTTTTATTAACTGTAGTATAATAATACTCCAATTAGTGCTATTTTCTGTAATTCTGTTTTATTATAGCATATTCACATTTTATGAATTAATTTTATTAGAAAATGCAAAAAATTCTAAAGCTTTAGAGCCCTGATGTGATCAGTTTGCTAAGACTGATTAGTGAAAAACCTAGACAAAATTACAGTCAACTGGAGTGATGGTGAGTGAGTGACAGACAACTGGGCAATGGTCAAATGGACTGTACTTGGCAATAAAATAAGAGATGAATAATAGACAAAATACAAATTTAAAAAAATTATTTTCTTTATTAATATCACCATTCTTTTCTATTGATTTACTACCTGATAAGTTTAAATAATATTTTTTAAGAAACAAGTTAAAAAACAATTTTTCAATTAACAAATATACATAAAAACAAAGACAACAATTACATAAGATTAAAAATACCTTACATTATACAGTAAACACAATATAAATTAAAGCAAAAAAGTATAAAAGTCCTTTAAAAGAATTTGTTATTAAAGAACTGCTTTTCTCTAATAACAATGCTACAGTACATTGTTCCAAAACATTTCCTTTCCTATGTTGGAAATACCTCTTAATTCAATTCATAATTTATAACTCATAGCTTGTAAATCTTACCCATATATATGTAGGCTATCTTTTTTTCAAGCTTCAATGGTCCATAAAACAGACTAGTGTAAATAACAAAATGAATTTATTACCAAAAGTTAGGTACAAACATGGTTACTTTTCAACATAATCACTGTGAAGATTAAGGCATTTGTCATATCTGTGGACAAGCTTTTCCATCCCCTTGCCATAGAATGTTGCCACCAATGACTTGAGATGGGCCCTAACGTTTTTTTGAAGATTGTCATTAGTCTTGAACTTCTGCCTTCCTACTCACTTTTCCTGTTCAGGAAAGAGATGGAAGTCACTTGACGCTAAATCGGGGCTATATGCTGGGTGTTTAAAGGTGGTAAAGACTTCCACCTCTTTCCTGAACTGAAAACATTGCTAGTAGGACAGAGGTTTAAGACTAATAATGATCTTCAAAACAACATTTGTTAGGCCATCTCAATTCACTGGCAGCAACATTCTATAATAAGGGGATGGTAAATCTCATCCATAGATATGACATATTCCTCAATCTTCACAGTGATTATGTCGAAAAGTAACCATGTTTGTGCCTAACTTTTGGTAATACATTCATTTTGTTATTTACACTTGTCTTTGTTTTATGGACCATCAAAGCTTGAAAAAAACTGCCCTCGTGTATATATATATATATATATACGAGGGCAGTTTTTTTGCAATATATATATATATATATTGCAAAATATATATATAGCAAAAAAAAAAAATCTGCCAAATCATACGCTTACTAAGCATGCAGAAATTTTAAGTTTCTGTTGTCCAGTGAACCAATTGCCCACTTGACTATTGCCAATTGTGAAATCACCCAGTTATCGTTTATCCTCCTGGAAAACTGATAACAACAGAGCTCTAGTTATTATGAATGTGGTATATTTATATGTAATTATTTCTTATATTTGTATCTGTTTTAATTTTATATAATGCTATTTAATGCATTGTAGATCAGTAACCTAATCTTTATTTATTCAATTTTATATTTTTATATTTTAATTTGAAATTTGTTCTGTGCATTCCAATTTAGAATGTTGTTGATCCAAAACAGATCTCATGCAAGAACAAAAAATATTTGTCGAATTTACATTAAATTATTTACTGGAATTATCAAAGTTTCGATTTGTGTATGTGGTTATAGATATTGATCCAGTTACACATAGAAGTTAGGTTTGCATTGTTAATTATATTGTTTCATTAGAACTTTTAATTATAATTAATGAATAAATAGATAAAAAAATATTTTTTATTAAATTTTGAATCCTAAAATATGTGAGTAAAAAGCGATATTTTCTTAAAAACATAACCAAAAGTGACCTGGTACGAGGACCAATATATTTTCATATTTATGACTAAACCAATGTTTAATATTATAATAATACTTAAGTATGTTTCCTTTTGTGGCAGTATTAATGTTAGTTTTAACCACGCAGAGAATAATGTAAAAGACCCCTATTTCTTAAATCAGTGCCATTGAGAATAATGGGGTCCAGGGAATAGAGCAGGCTTCTTTTGACCCTCTCTTTTGTTTTTGAACAAATGAAAAACAATGTTTCTTTATTAATAAAAAGTAGTTTTAAATACTTTTTAAATTAAAAATAACAATTTATAGGACTAAAACCACTATAAGCATCTAAGTTCTCTCTGGCTCAGGAAAAATCTTCAGCCTCCCTCTCGACTACCCTGATCTCGATCATAAAATTTTCAAAAGAAAAGAAACAAATAATTGCAATTACAGTATCGCACATTCTATTATGTTAAAATAACTGGAAAAATTTCGTTCATTAATAAAACAATATACCTTACGTATAGAACGATAAAACGAACAACACAACACACTTTCTTCAACAAAATTCTAGAGAATAATTAAGAACATTTCATTCCGAAAATCTTTCATAAAACTCGACAACGGGGAGTCAGCCCCTTTTGCAGAATTGTTATCTGTATGTGGTACAATCAACCGAAAAGATGAACGAGGTCGAAACTTCTGTTTACGGGATTTTCCGCTCGTACCTTATAATGTTTAAATATCAAAGTTATTTAATTCTGCCGACATTTCGAAAATAATAGTTAATATTTGGTAAAAGTTTGTAATCGACACATCATCCTACTCCATTTCAAAACAACAGATTAAATTAATGGTTCAATTTCCAGTTTCGAGTTAAATAGTCAATTTCATTAATTATTACGCAAAACACAAGATTGAAAACAAGCCTTGACAGATGTTTCAGCTAAAATTACACTTGAAGCAATTCATTTTTTCCACTCTTAATTTATTAAATATATAACGCATTAACAAATAATACGTAACATTAATTTATCTAATTATATATTAGCTAAAAATCTAGTAAAATATTTTTTAGATATTAATTAATACATATATAAAAAAAGTTAATAGAGTATTAAATTTTAACTAAAGTCTACGACGAATATCAGAAATTAATAAATAAATAATACTTACTGATAAGAATTAAAATAGATCCCTTAACCCCCATATACATACAGTTAAAATCTCCATTTTACTAATAACAAAAATTACACGGGATGAACGTCACGACATCATGGCGACTAAACAGCACAAAATACTCTAGTTCGGTTACTAAGGTCGAGTTACCTTAAAACGCAAGCGCATTGGTAAAGAGGACAGCATGACACTAGTGACGTCAGAGAAGAGGAAAACACACAAAAAAAAGGAAGCAATATTCCCCGAATGTTGCATCAGAAAAATTTTATTTCATACGTTATTTTAACTTTATTTCCGAAAATAAATTATAACACAATCCTTCACCGTAACAAATTTATATTTTGCTTTCGTCATAATTGATATTTTAATTTTCATCTGTTACGTCAAGCAAAAACTATGAGTTTGGAAGGAAATTTTCTAGCGGGAAATCGATACAAATTTTTAAAAAGTTATAGTTAATTTATCACAAGAAATAGAATTTAACCTTACTTTTAACGAACCTTTAAAAAAATTAACTAGTTATCAATATTATGAATAATTCGATTATTTATTTAGATTTTTTATATGATTTGACTTTCTTATTATAATTTTTTGTAACGAATATAATCGAATAAAATAATGAAAATTAATATCAACAATAGATTATTATTAATCTATTTTTAGATTTTTAAACGTATTATAAGTTTAGGAATGAGAAAAATCCATGGTTTAAATAAATCTTGCTGATAAAAAGCATTGACGCACGTAGCATAAACTGTTTAAAAGACTAAAATGTAAACATTAACAATATTTTAAATTAACAGTTTATATCTTCATCAAATGCTAAGGATTATTTAAAAATTAGGATTTTACAGATACAGTATATAGGCCCAGTTTTATTACATAAGAAAATTTTATAAATACTATAATATATCTATCTGTATTCTAGAAAATTTCAACAAATCTACAAATTTCTTTAATTAAATAAAGAATATCTCTAATTTGCCTTTATAAAAAAATAATAATAATAATAATGGGCATTATTCAGTTGCACAAAACTTCTAGATTTCATATCAGGAAGTTTAAAGTTGAAATTCGCGTTAATATAGTTTCATTTTTATAATATACTTTTTTATTAGGAATTCAGGATATTATTAAAATATTTCTTATTTTGAAATTATATTTAATTTCAATTAATAAATATAAATACAACTCCTCAAAAGATGAACTGAAAGCATTAAGGATCTAGCAATTAAATTTAAAATGTACTCAGGAAACTGTTTACATTTATTTATTATATAAGCAGAAATTTTTATTAATATAATTTTTCTATATTTCTTGTCATGCTCTATTAATTTTCCCTATATAATAAGTCATCTTTCAATACTTCATTTGTTTTAATTAATGTTACTGATTAGAAAACTTTTTAAGTTTTTTTATCTTATAAGGAAGAGAGATACTAATTTAAAAAAAGATATGTTACTAAAAGAATATCGTTAAATATAAATGAGATTTATTTACAACTGTAAAAATATCGATTTGACGTCACAAGAATTAAATATATAAATAGTTTGGTATGATAAAAAAATCTGTTTTTCTTGTAAAGATTTATAAAATAATATAAATTTAATTAATATTCAAGGATAAAATATTTAAATTAATTTTCAAGTATTTTCGTATAAAATTATAAGTTTAATAAAATAAATTGTAGAAAAATCCTAACAAAATTATTTTCAAATTTTCTACAGAAATATACTGTAATTTTCTGAAATGCATAAGATATTTTAGTTATACCGTATTTTAAAATATTATATGTATATAGGACTTAATAAATACAAAATTGCAGAAAGTTAAAATAATCAATATATGGTTAAAATTATTTTAAATCATCTATATTTCGTTTTTATTTCAGACGTCGTGGCCTATTTTCTGCCATAGGTGACACATATATGTATGCTTAGTTATCACGATTATCTGGCTCTCGTGATAAATGTCCATTGGACTGCATATGATTTTCTTTGTAATTTGTAGCTAATGCTCAATTTACTTCAGTTTAAATGGGTCATAATCTAGTTTTTTACATAATATATAATCAATATTTTTTCGTTTGGAAAAGTCAACATTATTTTTAATTTAATAACCCTTGGACCATGGAACTGACTAATTCACAGCTTTTGATTCATAGATTCATAACTAAAATTCGATTCATAAATAAAACAAATTCAATATTAAACAGTCTTTAGTTCTTATTTATTTATTATATATTATACCTAAGTGAAAAATTGCCATAAATTATCCAACATCTTTTTACATATTTTTTCATGTTTTGTAAAAAATTTATCGGATTTCTAAAGTGTGTAGGCTATAGACGTGGATTTTTGATATAGTATTTAAAAACGTTCTCTCAATACTTAAAAGACACCAAATAATAATATGTTCCTAAAAATTTTTCATCCTAGATTTGGCGGTTTTGGAACTCATATATAAAAAGGTCGCCCACCCCTAGACTAGGATATTTTCCAAAGGTTAGAATTTTTGTTCACATGAATTATTTACTTCAGACAAGATAACTTCTTATCTAATTGTTAACAGTCAAATCTAATGAAGAATCGTATGATTTCCTCTCTACTGACGTCCTTGATAATAGGACATGTTATACAGTATTTTTATTCCTAATATGATTTATTGTTAGGAATATTTTGTTTTATGTTTTCTAAATTTAAATATTATTACAAAATTCCTTTATAGTTCATAACTAATCAAGTCAATTTAATAGTCTATTTAACTTTATCTTAGTTTTTGGAAAATCAGAAAAAATTATATATGAATTAATCATGTTTTTTCAATTTTCTTCTTCTTTTACTATAACAGAAAGAAAGTATGGCAATTGGTCAAAAAATAACCCCCAAGATTTTTACATTTTTGGACTCAGGGGACCTTAAAATGTCAAGAAAGGAAAAAAAAATCAGTTTTTCTGTATGCTTGGATGTCAGTGTGGGGGGGCACGATTTTGTTCACCCTGTTTGAAGCTTAATAACTCCTGTGCTTCTTGTTGAAAATTTCTGAAATTCTTCAGGTTTGTATATTAAGGGGTCGAGGAAGATCGTGTGTCATATCTGGAGTAGAATCGGACTTAATGGCGATTTTACTCTTTATTAGCATTTACAATTTTATTTTATTTTATTTTTTTGTTATAAAACTCATCCTACCATCAAAATTAAGTTTTTTTTTGTCATTTTATAATAAATATAAAATATTTTTAAAATAAAACATATATCATAACAGATATGATGTTTTATAATAGATAACAGATAGAGGAAAAAAATATCATAACAGATACAGCCACATGCAGTTTTAAATGTAGCCGGGAAAGTTAAGCAACTCGTTGCTGGATTTTTCTTCTTTGTTGTGGAAGATCCTTGACATATGAACATACAAGTATTTTTTTAAATAATGTTGGCTAAAATTTAAATTCTAGCCTATACATTTCTTTACTAGCCTTTTCATTTAATCAGAAAAAAAAATAATAATAATAATTCTATTAGCCTAATATTTATTTAACAATAATTTTAGTCTGCGATTTTAACTTATCTTCAAAATAATGATCCAGGGGCGCCCTTACATTAGGGCACATGCCCCTTTTTCGTCTGAGTTGTCTTTTTCCTAATCACCAAGGGGCTTCAAATTCCATTATTAACAAACAACTGAAAATTCGGGACTTTCATTCTATTCTTTAAATATAAAAAATATACTAATGAACGATATTTGTTCCACGTAACTTCGTCGTATGTTAATCAAAATTTGGTCTTGAAAACAAAAACAAGACCACGTTAGTCCAGGGCATCTTGTGGGAGCGCTAATTCGAAATTAAATTATAGCTGGAAACTTCTTGCTTAATGTATGATGCTTTTTTATTTTTATAGCTTGTGCCAAGGGCGTACCCAGCGAGGAGCAGGGAGGAGCAGATAGATACCCCTCCCTAGAAGAAAAATTGAAGTGTAGTAATTGACACAGACACACAGCACAGCACAGACGTATCAATTTAGTATCAATTTGAATAATGAATATTGTGACTAGATTATAGCCATCTGTCGTGAAATCGCACTCTTACTCCTCACTTCCTCGAAACTAATATGAGTTGCCCCTCTAGTTCAGATTCTGGGTACGCCGCTGACTTGTGCTCCCTTTTCTATAGTCTATGGGCGTGCTGTTAAGATCCATCTCGATAATCCACGGGTTCCCAACCTATGGGTCGCGACGGGTTTTCTGTGGGGTCGCCAACTTATGCAGTAAACTAAAACAAAATTTTCACTATAATGCAATATTTATTTTAATGGTGTCCTAAAGTTTGAATAATTTCATATATTTTAAAAAAATTAAAATAAGTGTAATCTGGGTACGCTATTCTGTCACAGTTGGTTGAAACATGTGTTGAGAGTTTTGAGAGGAATAAATTAAATGTTGAGAATGACATGAGGTTGGCGTTAACAAAATCTCACCCGCGAATTTTGAGGCTGGTTAATAATACAAAAATTCCAACCATCTCATTAAATTAATTATTAAACATAATTTAAAATAAAATTATACTAAAAAACTAATTTCATTGTTTTTNGGATCAAATGGTACCGGGCCGCCCAAGGAACATTAAATTACTGGTATTTCCATTTTATTTACTATGGTGTATTTCTCTCGGGTTTGTGCGACTTTTAATGGACGACGGAACAACGGAATAAACTGGACATAAGAAACACACTTCGGGTGTCATTGTCTCCTATTACCCCCAGATGGAACCGTCTTGTTGCAAAGAAACAAGCTCAGGGTTCTCATTGATTTAACGTTTATTTTTTTGTGTAACTATATTTTATTTTGAAGGCATGTTTAAATACAATTAAATTAAAATTATTAAATTAAATCAATCTAAAATATAAACAATCAACGTCCCCCCTCAGTGGGCCGCGGTAAAATATCAAACGTTGACCGGTCCGCGGCGATAAAAAGGTTGGGGACCGCTGCCTTAGACTATTAAAAATATCTTTTTCAATTGTATCGGGATCGCGGGTCACTTGGCTTTTATAAAAAGGGGGTCGCCACCTGAAAAAAGGTTGGGAACCGTTGCGATAATCAATATAAAATAACAAGAAAAATCAATTTCTAACTTAATATTTACATATCTACACCTAATAAAATAATTATTCATTATTTTATTGGTTTTTATGATTCTTTACTCTA